TAGCTTGTTTCACACAATTATTTTTGAAGTTTCAGGCTCATTCTGCAATTGCATTTTACCAGAAAGTATTCAGGTTACAAGAATCAGACATCTTCCTGATCATCAAGCCTTTTCAGGTTGGTGTTGACCTATCTCTCTTCACTTTTTTTCCCAATGAGTAACAAACTTTTGTGGTATTACAGAGTGACAATATTTCAGCTACCACATGCTTTCTCTGATTAATGGAACATGAATTTTCGAGGAATAAAGAGTACATTAGGGCTAATCTGATGTCCCACATATGAAAAAATAATCATGGGATGAAAATCTAGATTGCTAATTCTCCCTCCGCCCATTTTATGTGAGAGGTGTTTGTCTGGGTAGGAGTTGAAGAAATTAAAGAAGGCTCTTAGTTTGTTCTTTTTTTGGTGTAAACAGAATCTGGGGTGGGTGGGGTGGGGTGGGGTGGGGGGAATAGAAGAATTGGTAGATTTAATTGGCAATGTATAAGCTTGTAAGCTTTTGGATAGGAGATCCCTTATACTTTTGAATGTTTGTAAGTTTGACAACTCAGTATCTCTTTGGAAGCTGAGTTTTGTTTATTAATACAAATGGTGATTACCTTATCAAAAGAAAAGAAGGCTCTTGACATGTAAGACAAATATATGCGAAGTACCAAAATTATCCTTTTAATTGAGCGGTGGTGAAAGCTTCACATGTCTTTTCATTAAGAATGGCGGTGAGGGTCCCAATAAGTATGTCATTAAGAGTAAAATGGGGATGGTGAAAGATAAAGGTATCATTCTTTTTTCGGAGAAGGGCCTAAAATACCCTTGAATTATCAAATTTGGTACAAAAATACCCTCCGTTTACCTCTTTGCTCTAAAATACCCCCGACGTCAACGTATTGACTCTAAATTGTCCTTATTTTTAACAGTCTTGGCTTTTCTCTCTGCTTCTTGAGCTTTAACAACCATGGCTGCTTCCTCAAATGCAGCAAGAAGATTTGGGACGAAAGGGGTACCCGATCAAATTCAAGTCCGACCGCCTAAATTTGACCCATCAATTTCAGTTAAAGGAGTAAAATTTCAATGAGCTGAAATTCTGACCTTCTTTGAAAGGTTCAGACATTTTCACTTTCTTTAACAGACCTTACGTTTTCTTTATCGTCGACTTTATCTTAGATCTCCATTTCTTGATCTTCAAGATCCTTCATTAGCTCAGAAACATCAATAATCTCAGCTTCTCGATCTCTTGTACGCTGCTCTGAACATTCTTCTTGGTATCTTCGTGGATCTGGATTCGAGTTGATGAAGAGTGACAGTGAAATTGAAAATTTGATTCTGGTGATGAATTATGAATATATCCATCTGATGCATTTGAACTGAGAACTGTTTGTGGCTTCAAATACCCGATTGTTTTGATTGTCTTCAATTTCTTGAGAAGCTTTCCTTCATGGTCTTCATTTGCTTGATGAAAACCACTAGAAAAGGAAAAAGGAAAAAGGAAAAAGGAAAAAGGAAAAAGAAGAAGATGAAGAAAAGGAACCACCTTTAGGTGTGGCGTGTGTGGGTTATAGGTGGATCTGTGTTTTAGGTTGAGATTTAATTAGTTAGGTTCATTTTAACAATAGCCAATAGGAACGTGCCACGTAATAAATGAATCTATTAATTTTTTTCCAAATAGGGCGGTATAATAAGGGCAATTTAGAGCCAACATGTTGACATCAAGGGCATTTTAGAGCCAAAAGGTAAACAGAGAATGTTTTTGATCGAATTCGATAGTTCAAAAGTATTTTAAGCTCATTTCCGTTCTTTTATGGATAGACTAAATGGAAGAGTGTCACGTGAAATGTGACAGAGGGAGTACAACGTTTAGTTTCTGGCATAAAACTTTAGATTACTAACCCGGAGCAGGTAAAATCTACAAGATATATAAGTCTGATATTGTTCCTACCACTTAAAATTGTATATCTATTGCTTCTGAATTTTTATATATTGATTTGTCTATTGTTATTTGGGAATGTTGAAGTTCCATTTGATGGTCATCACATGAGTACATGACACATATTTGATGTCGTATATGAGAAAACATGTAGCCAAGTTTGTTGAGTATATATACATAAAAATGTAGCTTATTCAGTTAAGAAAGCAATTCTGGTGGACTACCCTTTGCATGCTCAGCACTTGGTAGCCCTAAAGTGAGGGCCCCAGAGATAGTATTTCTCAATTGTCGATCCACGTAAAAGTCTCATGATTACACATAATTGGTTAGCTAATGGCTCCAACTAATTAAGATGAGTGGATGTGGCTAAAGAAAGAAGCACTCCTAGATGAACAAAAAAGAGAGGAAAACTTCTACAGCTATGAATACCATAATTTTCCAGTGTTGGTTACTCCACATTTTAATCTCATCAATCTCAACACTGTAGAGATTTATGAATACCATTTCAACTTAAAAGGAATTATTTATTGACTGTAATAGCATCATGAAGGATTGGTTGTAGTTGCAGCCCCTTTTGTTGAATTTGATATCTTTTGTCCCATCTTTCATTTTTTGTTCCTTTTTTGGGGGTGATTTCTCTGCTTTGGAGTCTCTGTGAATGAGAGGTTTCCAATATGTTTGGTCCCAAAAGTTAAGCCAATTAGGTTGAAGTCAACCTCAGTTGGACATGACCCGGATTGCATAATCACATCAACTGAGTAACAATACTCAAATCAGTAATAATTTCGCATCCCTCTGCCATGCTAATTTCTATTGTTTTTGTTTTCTCCATGTCCTTTGACCAAATAAAACAATTAACCACTCTGGCTAAGTGGTGTTTCCTAAGAGGTTGATGAAATGACGCAGAAGTTTGATTGTGTATTTGTGAGGTGAACACAGAAAGTCTTATGTCTTTTCAGGCACATTCTATTAACGAATACACATGGAAAGAAATGGGAGACAAAAAAAGTTTTTCAAATGAACTTATGAATTCTTATATAGTGTCCTTCCATATGAGTCTGCATTAAGAAAATGGATATGGGCTTGACTCAATCCCAATAAGTAGTGCAAGTAGTGATGATTGTCCAAAACCAATTAAGGAAACTATAGCCTATATAGTTAAACAATATGGGATTCTAGCACTCTCACACATGCCCAAGGCTAGACATTAGGAGCATGCAGTAATATAACATGGGTGTCCCAACATTGAATAGCCCAACATCTGGGATAAGTCTGCCTCTGCCTCTGATATCATGTTGAGAAAATGGAGCATGGTCGTACTGAACCCTGAATAGAGGCGCAACCAGGATTTGAACTTTAGGGGTTTTAAAATTCTAGGTAGTGACATCAGGAGTTAGTAACTGTGTTTTGAATTTAATTTTTGGACATATTTAGTGAATTTCTTAATACAAATACTGGGTTTGAACTAAAAGTATTGGGTTTGGATGAACCTGTACGTCAGCTTTTAGCTCTGCCCCTTGCCCTGATTGCTATGATCAAGTAGTGAAGATTATAACAGAGTGACCAAACTGAAAACTACTAAAGTTATAGCCCGCCCAACCTACTTAAAAATTTAGAACTAGGTTATATTGCTTACATTTAGATGTGTTATTCTGTCAAGCAAATCTTTTCTGAATGTTTTTGTGCACTTTGTGTGTCTGTATGGATGCAGGTATAGATTGTAGCTGTACTTATGAAGTACCTTAGTCTTAATCTCTAGTAGATATACAATAACTTAAAGGATGAAGGAATGTTCTTACATGTCATGTTAATATAGGCTTTTTTCATTCTTGACTAACCAAAATGCTTTGCAATTGTAGAAGACGGGACAGATTCTGATGGGTCATCTGTATCGGTAGATAGCGAGGAGGAAGACTCTGATCATCAGTTGTTAACTGTACAAAATAGTGATATGGCATTTCTGAATGAAAAACCAGTGAGACTAGCAAAAGAGCTTCTTTGATTGAAACATCTTTCTTCTTCTTCCCCTTTTCTCCCTTCCCTCCAATTCATCTAGTCTCCTGTTTGGAATCCTTTTGATTGTATTTGTGTGTTGTGTGTGCGCGCTCTCAAGTGTATCTATTTATCTGTCCTTTAAACACATTGTAATGTTCAAATATTCGTTAAGATGTGTACTCATGTAGTGTATTTACGTAGAACAATCAACTTCTGGCGTTACTAGGATTCAATGGGATTGTTTTTCCCTCCGACTTTCCCTCATTGTGTTTAGCTTGACATGAACTTTCTTGTATGATATATTCGAATTCCGAAACACAATCTTCAGAATGAGCTACCAGTTTTGAGTATTCATTGGAACTAAATGTCAAGACGAGTGAAAGAGAAGACAATTTGACATTTATGTTTCTACATCCATCTTGTTTTCTAGAGAATGACAAATCTAATTTTGGAACATAGTTAAACTCACTACCTTAATAAAATCCCTTGGTTTTTTCACCCCAAATAAATGTTGGATTAGGTATAAAGATCTCTGAGTTTTTAATGTAGTTGTTAAAGTTATTTGTTCAGTTGACCTACAAAAGAATGAACCAACCAATCATATTCCCCAACAAGAAGAAACCCATTTTGGATTTATTAGACCAAGGCACCTAAAAAGTTTAGTGCCAAATACCTCTTAGTCATCATCCAAAGACTAAAGTCTCTAAAGCAACCATAGAATAAATGCATTGACTATTATATGTGGAACAATTGTTAAAGACTTAGAAGTCTTCCATTTGATGCCCACTCTTTATTCCCTGAAAGCCACCATGCTCACGGAGTTTAATTTTTATATACTGATAATAAAAAAGAATTGTAACTTGGAAAGTAAAGCTTTTATTTATATTGTCAATATATATAAATTAAAATAAAGTTATTATTTATACTATCAGTATATATAAGTTAATTGAAAGATGACTTCGAAACTTTGCCCATTTAACACTTCAAGTCTCCAGTCCACAATCTTTAACCCCTTCCCTACTCTCCCCTCCTCTATATTTTTCCAACTACAAACCCCCCACCCCCCACAACAAATTTTTATTATGGATACTCTGATCTTCATTTCCCTGTTCATTATTGTTCTACATGTAAAAGCACAAGCAAATAGTTATTCACCAATTAACTGTACAAATGCCTCTGATCTCAACACTCAGTTTCCTTTCAGACTTCATGAATTTCAGCTACACTGTAAGCAAAACAGGACCATTATTCATTTCCCATCATATGGGGATTTAGTCATCAAATCCATTTCATATGACATCAAGAAACTCGAATTAATCGACCCGAAAAACTGTGTCCCTGAAGTTTTCTTGAATCTGAATCTTTCTAACACCCCATTTAGTTATTACTATATCTTGAAGGAGTATCAGTCTCTGAATTGTTCAACTGAAATTCCATCTTCTTTTTTGCAAGTCCCCTGCCTAAGTGGCATTGGACATCATGTTTATGTTGTGGAAACATCATTTGTTGTCCCAGATTTTTGTAACCATGTTAAGACTGTTGGAATCCCATTTTCATATAGTCCTTTCTTGTCTGATAACACTTTTGGACTTGGATTAACATGGAACTTGGAAAATTCCCATGAAGACAGTGTAGCAACAGGGCAGTTTAAAGGACTCAATGAGATAGCAAATGATAAAGGTATGTAATTTATCACAAAAAATAGAGTGGTTTTTCAGATACGAAACAAAGAAACATGACTTTACTGCGCGGTTTTTATTAGTTGAGTGACTTTTCTTTTACAAAATAAAAGAAATATGATTTTTCTTGGATGATTTCTATTAGTTGAGTGATCGTCTTAGAGAAATCAGACTCCTTACCTGCAATATCTTCTCCTTGTTTTAGTTAAGTTCCTATTGTCTAAGTGATTGACCAATTATATTAATCAAATACACTCTCGTTTGGTCATAGATTTTGAAGTTGAAACTTAGAAAATTGAGTTTTTCAAGTTGTGATTTTTGGAATTTGTAAAGTTGTGTTTGAACATGCATTTTACTTGGGAATTTTTTTTTTTTTTTTTTGTTCAAGTCCCAAAAACTCAAAAAATGGTTTGAGCTAGTTTTTGGGGAACTTTGAAGATCATCAAATTTCATGGTCAAACAAATATTTGTTTATAAATTTTCAAGTTGGTCTCTTGGTGGTCGATTGTATAAATCTTTCTATTCATTATACCGTTTACACTGACTAACTCAGGGACGGAGCTAAGGGGCACATTTCTTCACCAGAAAATCATATACTAATAAGTAATCTATGTAAAGTTAGTTTTATTTTCAAGCATATATAGCAGATGTTGAATTATTCTTTCAGCTTCTTCGTATGTTTATTTTTTTGTATTTTGAACTTATTAAGTGAAAATTCTAACTCTATCACTAGATTGATTGTTGACCTACCACAACCTTCCTTGACAGAGCAATTTTATTAACTTTCGAAATTTAACAATGTTGTTAAGTCCCTAATTTTGTTCTTTCTAATTTGCAGCCTTGGGGTGTATTATCCTGTTCATGTTTATAGTGGTGATGCTGTTGAAGTTATCTCAATATTCTAAGAGAGTAGAGGATAAAGTGAATCAGAAGGAACCTCATGTTGATGGCATTTTAGGGAACTATGAAGCTTTGGACAAAATTGTGATAAAAAATTAGTTTTCAGAATCAAAATATTTACCAAATCTATGAGGAAACTTTTGGTGGGTTATTGAATTATCTTATTCTAGGACTAGGGGTGTGTTAGATATGAAGAAATTGTTTTCCATATTCTTTTTGGAAATAAGTGAGTTTTGTTTTACTTGTTTTCTTATGTTTTGGTATGTAAGTAACAAATATTTTTATATAAATATTTATATATAATCTAGACAAATATTATGGGAGATAAAAATGGAATAGGGGCATGAGGTGGGTGAAAATGAGGTGTATTGGAAGGTGAGAAGGACATAATCAATGTGAAATATAACGAGTAATTTCCCTAGATAGTCATCCATGTTTGAGAAATTACCTAGTAATATTACTTATGTTTGTTTTATGACTACAATATCACTCAACTTTACATATTTTCCTCAAAATATACTTGACACCAAAAAAGCATTATCTCTCCTAATGAAATGTCATGTCACATTTTTTTAATTTATTAATAATATTTTTTTATTTCTTTAAGTGTTTGTGCCCCTGCTTTTCGATAGTATTTATACAGTGTTTAGACATTTTTTTATTTATTTGTTTGTACTTCTCTGATTAAAAAGATTTTTCAAAGGCCGACAACCCAAGTAAAATTCGAAAACATGATATTTGTCGATAGAGAGCCTAGTGCGCTCTATGTACATTACTTTCATTCATTGTTGTTACATTTAGTAAGAAAACAAGTTATATCATATTATATAAAAATATGTTTTTACACTATCATATTATAAACTCTAATTAACTCAAAAGGAGAAAAAGAGGGACCAGACGAATTATTTGAAGATTAAAATAAATAACATCAGTAGTTGTAGGCTGTCCGTGTGACTTATTGACTAGGACGTATATAGTCTATGGTCCGCACATATTGAAATGAGACATTTCATTGCTCCAATTATTATACTCAGAAAATAATAAAATATTAAAGATACAAACTAGTACTCTTATTATATAAAAGAGACTTCACGGTGAAGCAGTCACGTCTCTATCGATGTGCTTGCTTAGCGTGTTTTGGAAAAAATTTGAAAAACTTATTTCCTTTGTTCTATTTTAACTTAATTAGTGTATAATTTTTCTGAAATTATGGAATCCGTTTTAGCTATATTTTTTAGTTTTAAATTTATATTCTTTAGTTATAGCTTTATTATTTTGGATGTCGGTAATATCTTGTAGCTACTTTGAGTATTGATTCAACGATCGATGACGAAAAATACTTTAATTATGGATATCTTAATGAACCTCTTCACATTAATTTTACGCAAACAAAAAGTAACTAACAATTTAAAATATCTAAAATCATATTAAAATTTAATCAACTTTCTAAATTATATCGATATCACATAAATTAAAATAATAGATATTGGGCTCGTGCTAGAATAGACACGCGTGTCTAATTTTAAGCATACATGTAAGTTTTAAATTTTACTTCTTTAAAGTAGAGAGTTCTTAATCAATATTTTATATCTTTTTTAATAATTTTAAAATCATAAATATAACTAAATTTTGTGTAATCGAAGGTTGGCTCCGCTCTCGATTTCTTGTGAGAATCGACATGGTTTTATCTTTACGATTAACAAGGAGAGCGAAGAAAATCACGCACATAATAAATATCACACGTATACTAATTAATTACTTTTACTTGTTTTTATAACATAGTATTTTTCAAGTTAATAGTAAAAAAAACACTTAATTAAATATTATTTTTCACGAATTTCGTATTTTAACTATCTATTACTTCCTTTATCTATCTAAATTGTTATTTCCTTTGTATTAAAATAAACCTTGATTTATAATGGTGATTAAATGTTTGAAATAAATAGACACGCAACAGGGGCACAAACACTTCAATTCCTAATGTAGGCATTCCACAACTAAACTACTTAGTATTATAGGAGCCTACAGACATTTAAAGAATTAAAAAAAACATTATTAATAAATTTAAAAAATGTGACATGGCATCCATTAGGAAAGAGATAATGTTTTTTTTTTGTGTCAAGTATATTTTGAGGAAAATAAGTAAAGTTGGGTGATATTATAGTCCTAAAACAAACATAAGTGATATTACTAGGTAATTTTCCAAACATGGGTGACTATCTAGGGAAATTACTTATGGAGAGGACATAGTCGATATGAAATACTCCCTCTGTCCCATTTTATGTGGCAACATTTCCTTTTTGGTCAGTCCCAAAAAGAATGTCACATTTCCTTATATGAAAAGTTTATAAAGGTACAATTCCTCTTTTATCCTTGTTGGTCCCACTTAATCTTAAAATAATACTCCAATTCATTTATGAGGAGAGAAAAAAAAAGTCTACTTTTTAAAGGGCAATTTGGTAAACATTTTAAAGTCTTCATTTATTTTTTAAACTCCGTGCCCGATCAAATGTTGCCACATAAAATGGGACGGAGGGAGTATGATTTTGTGGACTAATTTTCCATGCTCCCACCACAAAAGTGATTTTCTTACATTTTTAAAAACTTTGTTTTTAGAGAAAATAATTTTCAATTTTTTTTAATCAACTGCACATGAAAAAAATTGAGAAGTGTTTTTTAGTCATAAAAGCTCCTAATGTTAGCAGTTGCATCTAAATATCTTTTATAACCTAATTAGTTTAAGCTTGAAGTGTTTGAGAAGACATCTCAAGGAATTGAAGACAAGTCTTGCAAAATCAATATTAAAATATGATTGATTCAAATTAAGAAGTAGAAAGTAATTGCAAAATTAACTACCTATAAAGTTTAATTATAATTATATTAATTATATTTTTAAAATAATAAAATTTTGAAAACATATACATAATTATTAGAGTAGTAGGAGATTGCCAACAAAATATTACTCCCTCCATTCCATATTAACTTAAGCTTTGAGGTGTTTCACACTCTTTAAGAAAAGTAGGTTAGGACATAAATTGAACATAATTTTTCATTTTTACCCTTATTAATTATTGTCAAAAATAACTAAACATTAATTATAATAACTAATTTCAATACTAACTTAAAGGGTAAAATTGGAAGAATATTTTTAAAATAGTCTTGAAGATTGAAAACTTAAGTTAATTTGAAAAATGGAAAAATTGTTCAAAACTTAAGTTAATATGGAATGGAGGGAGTAGTAAGAATATTCTAAAATAAATATATAATTATTTATATTCTACTTATACTTTACACTTTGTTTGGATGATTGTTACGTATCGTTTCATAATATATCGTATTATATTATATTTTATTGTATCATAATATGTTGTTTTATTGAATATAACATCTGGATAGATTGTATAATTCTTCATCACTATATAAACCTATAAGAAAAATTGGGCAATGCTATAAAAGGTAAGGCAAAAAATAAAATGTTATTATTAAATAATATTTAAAAATAAAATAAGAAAAAACTATTTAACAACCATCTAAAGTCTAATACACATTGTATTTAAATCTTTTTGCATTACTAATAATCAGAAATCTATAATATTAGTAATACTAATACACAATAAAATATATAACTAATTCATAACATTAAAAAAGCATACCAAATAAGGTAGTATTAATACATACATTATTTTTGCTAATACCGATTAGCAAATGCCCCCTCACTATATAAGGGCTTGAACTTCAACCAGGTATTTTGGCCCTTCTAAGCGCAGCGTCGCCTTCATAAGATTTGTTTGGTTTGTGTCTTTTTATCTCTTCTCATGTATGTATCTTCTTCCTCTTTTAGGTTTACTGTCTCTGTGCTCTGCTTTTCGGTTGATCTCGAGTTGTGTTTCTTCGTTTAATCTTCATTTTTATTTCTTTTCTGTGTGAGTTGGCGTCTTCGATTGTGTATGTGTGTTTGTTTGAACTGAATTTGGGCCTTTTTGGTTCTTTTGGGGATTTGTAATTTTGAGGCTTGGGGCGTAAAGCAACTGCTTTGGTGGCTCTAGGGTTGAGCCGCCCTTGTTAACAAAAAAGTGATCTTTGATGTTTCTTTATATTGTTTGAATTGCTGTAATGTTGTCAATGGTTGCTATATCATGATATTTTTATACTTATGTTGGTATTATTTGATGCTTGCATGAATTTTCTTACACTTCATTGCTATGTTTTAAAATGTTACAACTTTTACTAATTTTTCACAATCTTACCTCCCTCCCCATACCTCACTTGTGAGATTACAGTGGATATGTTGTTGTTGTAGTAATGTATGTGGTTCTGATAGTTTGTTAGCCATTGTAATTAGTCAAATTATGATGATTTTTTTTAGATACTGAATGAAATGAGTTTGATCAGCCCAGAAGCTTTATGTAGCTGATCCTAACTACTTTGAGATTTATGTTTATTTCATTCATTAATTAATAAAATATTTTCAAAAAATTTATGGGTGGTATAATACTTGCGTCATGGTGCCACCTTTTTAAAATACTAAATGTCATAAGGAAGAATAATCAAAGATGATTAGTAAATGTTTGCGATTCAACTCATATTGTGTTTACAAGTGTAATCTGTTGTACTTTCCCTTATCATTTTCCCTCTATTATTACAGATGGCTAGATGGGATCAAATTCTTTCCCTTCCTGTTCAGAGCCCCCCGACTTTGGAGTTTTCTTCTGCTGAACTTGTGTGGTCTAAAGTAGAAGGCTGGCGCGATAACATAGACAGAGTTGCTCTCATTCCATTTGCTAGAGTTGATGACTTTGTTAGGGGTGAATCTGCTAATAAAGAATGTCCAACAAGATTTCATGTTGAAGCTCGGAGACGTCGGCCTGCAGAGTCGACGTACAAGCCTAAAGTTGATGGCATCCTTGAATACATTCTGTAAGCTGTACTTTTATCTCTTTAGCTTGTTTCAGTTGCTTGTATCTGCCACAATGCATTTTATAGAAATAACCTTGTGATTCTTTAGGTACTGGTGCTCGTTTGGTCCTGATGACCATAGAAAGGGTGGAGTTGTTCGACCGAGTAGAACCACATACGTTCCTAAGAAAAAACCTTCTGGTCGACCTAATACAAAGAGGGGGTGCACCTGCCACTTTATTGTCAAACGCTTAATTGCTGAACCGTCTGTAGCACTTATCATCTATAACCAAGATAAGCACGTGGATAAGAAAGGATTACCATGCCATGGCCCACAGGACAAAAAGTCTGCTGGAACACGTGCCATGTATGCTCCGTACATCTCAGAGGATCTTCGTCTCCGTGTTTTGTCCCTGCTCTATGTTGGGGTGTCTGTGGAAACAATCATGCAGAGACACAGTGAATCAGTGGAGAGACAAGGAGGTCCGTGCAACCGAGATGACCTTTTAACTCACAGATATGTTCGGAGACAAGAGAGGAGCATACGTCGCTCGACTTATGAACTTGACACAGATGATGCAGTCAGCATTAATATGTGGGTTGAAAGTCACCAGAATCAAGTGTTCTTTTATGAGAATTTTTCTGATTCCGACCCTTTTGTTTTGGGTATTCAAACAGAATGGCAGTTGCAACAACTGATTCGGTTTGGAAATCACGGCCTTCTGGCCTCTGATTCGAAGTTTGGAACTAATAAATTAAAGGTATTTTTTGCTTATATGGTTACGAAATTTCTAGAACTAGAATAGCCTGAATACTTGAAAGCTTACATTCTCTGTTATGAAAATTATCCAGTATCCTATTCGCAGTCTTGTTGTGTTCAACTCAGACAACAAGGCTATACCGGTGGCATGGATAATAACACCTAGATTTGCAAGTGGAGATACACTTAGATGGATGAGGGCCCTATATGACAGAGTTCATATGAAAGATCCTAAGTGGAAGTTGGCTGGATTCATTGTGGATGATCCTTCAGCCGACATCCTTGCAATCAGGTTGCTTACTTTTTTTTGTTCCACATTCATTTGCATGATCAAGTGATAGTGTAATCCAATATCAAGCAATGACCATGGTTATTTTCCTTTTTTCTTTTTCCTGATGGGCGTGGGGGTTCTCTTTAGCATGGCAAACTAGAGTCGCACCAGTGGCATCTATCTTTTGGGTTCAGGGTGAGGCTTTTACTTCAATAGTCTCGAGTCCAGGGAACTTATCATGTTAGACTTGTGGATTGATGATATTAGTAGATGAATGCATGTAAAATAGGCTGGCAATTTCAATTTCGTTCTATTGGATCGGTCTGAATATTTTGAACTAATGAAGAATAGAATAAACCGGCCTCTGATACACTATTAGTCATAATGTTTCTTATTGACAGTAGTGAGTTTGAAAAGTCTCTCAGCATTTTATCTGATCCCAACTTCTACATCTAAAAGTCGTGCTCATTTACCAAAGGTTAAATAGTACTCCCTTTGTTCCAATTTATATGACCCACTTTCCTTTTTGGCCAGTCCCTAAAAGAGTGACATATTTCCTTATTTGGTAAATATATAATGACACTATCAACATTTTACCCATGTTGAGTCCCACTTATTTGGCAAAAAGTCCACAAAGATGTACTTTTCTTTTTAGAAATGCATTTATTTTAACGTTAGTTTTGAAACCTTGCAAAGTCTTTCCATATTTCTTAACCCCGTGCATCATCAAATTACATCACATAAATTGGGATGGAGAGAGTAACAAATTTTAAATTGAATGATGGAACTTGCATACTTTGCTCATTCCGTGCGTGGAAGGTTTATCTGAATGTTAGGCATGTCACTTAGTTTTTCTTTTTGTGTTTTCTCAGTCACTCATGAGTTGAGGTTCTGTAGAGTATATATTTTGTATACTAGATTGCACAGATTAAAATTGTGCCCTCTAGTCATCTACTTTATCTTCTTGACTTTTCTTGTATGAATGGTGTATTATACCTTTGTTTGCTTATCACTCAGGGAAGTGTTCCAGTGCTCTGTATTGATATGCTTTTGGCGGGTTCGTCATGCATGGCATAAGAACTTGATTAAGAAATGCTCGGAGCTGGAGACCTGTGCCGTAATTGCCAAGAGGCTAGGCCAGGCAGTGCAGCGCATCTGCAAAGGGGATGGAACTGCTGATTTGTTTGAAGAATTTATGGAAAATTTTGTGGATGCCGCAGATTTTTTGGACTATTTCAAGGCGATATGGTACCCAAGACTAGGTGAGTTTTACTATTCAGTAAAACAGTCTCTGTAGGTACCAATAGATTTGTTATTGCAATTAGATTGAAGTACACCTCTGAAACAGGTCTTTTGCTTACTCAATTGACACATGGATAATCTGATTCAGATCCAGGCCTAGCATGAATTTAAACTAACACTCCCTTTGTCCACATTGTGCAACATTTCACATGCCTTGTAAAAAAAGATGTTTCACACACCTCTGTGGAAAACGGTAGTCTTTTTTTGGACCCCGGGTTTAGCTCTGTTTCAAAAAAGATGAGGTGCCTAGGATTACACTGGGTATTTTGTCATGGTTGAGTTTCTTGAAGTCCAAAAACTCGGTCATATTTTCAATTGCATAACAATCTCTCAGTTTATACTACATAGCTAACATGCATTTAATTTGAATTATTATAGATTGAGGAACTCCATACATGCAATCTTTCACGTTTGAGTGTCCTCACTTAAAAAGGACATGCTAACCTAGTAGTTTTCTACTAAAAACCTTGTTCTTTTAGTTTTGAAAGAACACATTATTCTTCAAGAATGCTTGAAATACTCTTATAAATTAGTTGGTTCCTCTTTGGGGCTTTTCTTGCTGACGGATTTTGTCTACTCAGGGCTCTGGACTAGTGCACTGAGAACTCTTCCTCTTGCCAGCCAGGAGATGTGCTCGTCAATGGAGTACTATCACAACCAATTAAAGCTTAGGTTATTGAATGAGAAGGAAATAAGTGTATATCAACGTGCTGATTGGCTAGTAGATAAGCTAGGTACTACAGTGCATTCTTACTTCTGGCTTGATGAGTACTCAGGGAAGGATGATTTCGCACGATACTGGAAGGATGAATGGATGAGTGGCTTAACAGCTTGGCAGAAATCTTTGCAGATTCCGGATTCGGATGTGTTAATTGAGGGTGATTATTCAAAAGTTGTTGATCAGGAAGATCGACATAAAGTGCATGTTGTTCGGAATCCAGCTTCCGAATATGCACTTTGTGATTGTAATTGGGCGAAAATGGGAAACTTATGCGAGCATATTCTTAAAAGCATTAAATGTCTACGTGACAAAGGCTCTATTACTCCATCCGTCAGTATGTTCCAATATATGCAGGCTCTGGTTGATATGTTACACTGCCCACCTCATGATTCTTTGATTCGTGATCATGCACTTTCTCTAGCTGTCTGGGTGCAGACGCAGTTGAATGCTCAACTTGGTCCTGGAAGTGGCCAGTCGAAGCGACAAGCTCTTCAGCTGACTACTGCCACACCTGGTGTGGTGAGAGCAAGCAATAGAACACACACATTAGTCAATGTGGAAAATGATCTGACTGAGCTCCAGCATCCAAGTTCTGCCACAGGCAATTTGAGTGGTGGCAAGATTGATCGGGTAGCTACTGAAAATGGCACTTGCACAGATATAGGTTCTGCTGTGGAACATTCTTCTGTTGAGATGCAAACCAGCCCAGTATCCATCTCCGCTTGTGCGACTCAATTGTTTTCTCTTGATGGGATCACATCAGCCAATGTGTTTGCTGAGAACGGAGATGTCATGATTGATGAGGAGCTGGATACGACGAAGAATATTCCTTCCACAGATGCATCATTGCAAATTTAGACGGTTTTCAAGATGGATCTGGAACAAAGCTGACTGTGCAACAACGGTGGACAAGCAACCACAGCCTCTGTGTAGCTCCAGCTGAGTCTTCTCTAGATCAATGGTTGAATAACCAGCAGAATGATGTATGTATGTAGGAACTCCACAGATACAGACATTATCCTGGATTACAGAATGTTGAAAACAGAATAGACAATGCAATTCGCATCCACAACCAAGGCAGTATAATCCTCTCTGGTAAATATGGCTGAAGCATCTGAAGTCGAAAAGCTTATGAGGATAGGTGCCGTTGATGAAAATACTGGCATCACTAGTGGCCTAACAGCTTAAAGATAAGATGTCAAATGTTCGTCCTGGGCTCTTTAGGCTCCCCGATTCACATCAGAGCTGGTTGAAGAACTGAAGCCTCTGAATGAATTGAAGACAATGGGAAAAAACGAGTTTTGACGAAAGAAGATGTAAGCAAGAACAATGACAAGAATTCTGCCAGCAGAGTCCTGTTAGAAGAAGGTACAACTACTGAGCGGTTTATCTTCTCCCTGAACAGTAGGACAGCTGACCATGTGATAGATTTTTGTCCACATTTTGTCTGTTGGAAGACTCCACCCAATTAGCAACCTTATGTGAAGCTTGGGACCAATTGAGCATCTTATGATTAAGAGCTTTGCTTTCTTAGATCATAATAGCTTAATTTTGCAAAAAGTGATTTCACCAGTAAAGCGATAGTTTGCTCATCATGAATTCATGATCTATTGCTTGCAGGGTTGGTTGTTACACAGTTTGTTCGAGGCTGCTACTCAATATCTATTGCTCATAGGTACCTATTCGCCTAGTTGTGCCATTGTTATTGCACATGCTCTCTTCACCACCCTGTATATCCAGATGAAAGCAACAAAATCTGAGAATTATTTTCAATCTTTGATTGAGCGTGTATATTTGCATGGAATTTATCTTAGAAGATGCTCTTAAGCATTGTATGTTGCCTCAAAACCCATTTCTTGTGTCTGCATAAAATCAATGAAAAGAGCATTTGTATATCGTTGTTTTTTCTGATATATATAGCTTTATATTGTCATCTAGACGAGCTCTGTGTGATGATTTATCTATTTCCTCCCTTCTGCCGATCCTGAACAACCATCAAAACTTTTACATCATAGATCTCTCATTTACTTGTAATAGTTTGCTTTATAGGACGAAGACGTTTCCAAGTGCAGATTTTCAATTTATAATTGGATTTAAGAGGCATTCATTACTAACATAATGTTACTATTAAGACGGTATATTTTCACATTGTATAAAACTACGAAGAATAGGCAGTTTAAACAACTGAATAAATGTACCTGCTAAAACCAATCCACTGTATTTTCTTGGACAAAGACACTATCGTGTTTGTTTAAACCAGTGCAGTGACAAGTGAGAACTTCTGTTTACAAAATTATTATACAATACAACTAAATATTAGATTGAGATAAGCTTAAATGGATAGTGAGCATTTGTGTAGCAATCAAGATGTAGTTGTAAGCTAAAGCGTCTTTACTAATACTGCTACACTCAAAGCGTCAGAATACTCTGCTGTTGCAACAGTTCCAGAGGTCTCCAAAGCCTACTGACCGAGTTCATCAGGGCTAACACAATTAACTAAAAAGCCACTTTGCAAGATTAGAGATATATTTCCTAACGAAAATCGATTATAAACATAAATACTTGAGAACATAGTTACACATAGCAGACACAAACATACAGCCTGTTTCTTTATGTTGGTATGCTTAAGATCTAAAGAACACTAACAGTGCAGTAGCTCATATTGCGATAAAAGTAAATCTCTGAGCCTAGAAAACACAAACATAAACTTGCCAGATCTTCTCATAAGATGGGGAGGGAGGGAGGCGGTAAAGGTGGTTGAGAAATATCATTCCAAAGCATTTCTTCTACATCATTACAACATGACTTCATACATCAAACATCAACTTTAACGGGTTGCTGAGGCACAGAAGATCTTCTGTTTCTCTCTGCGGATCACCAGACTCTGTAGTTACCTGAAAACAGTCACAACTAACAGTTGTTCTTTGTTTTACAGCGATGAAAATAGAATACAAAGAAACTATGTTTTTTTTTTTCTAGTTTCCATTCGTCTGTCAGAAGTGTTGGTTCAAACTTAGCTTAATAAGTAAGGATAGTACATAATTCTTCATAAAAAAGAAGTTGGGTCAAACTTAGCTTAATAAGTAAGGATAGTATTCTTCATAAAAAAAAGTAAGGACAGTACATAATTGCTGCAGAAACTAGTGGTTACTCACAGTTATTCGTTCTGATGGAAGAGAACATATGATGCTACTAAAAAGCGGTCTTGTTAGCTTCTACTACTTTTCTATCAACCTGGAAATTTATACAAGACCAGCAGTTTTGTAATAGCAGCTCTTACATATGAATCAATTTCAGTTCCAAGGGAATGTTCACTTATTTGCTTCATCATCAAGTCTAGGATACAAAGCCTATTACTAATAGTTCATTAAATAATACAAATTTGTTTCCAGATTATTTAACATAGTCAACGAAAACGACAAGGACAGGAAGTATCAGCAAGATTTCAGTGTACCTATTGCGCTGCATCTTCAGAAAATCTGGCATCAAATGGAGCAGAAGGATTGGGATGTACTGCTGAAGCACTATTCGCTCCAGAACCGTGTTGCAGTTCTATCACTAGCCATCTTACAGCTTTACTCATCTGCTCCAACCTAACAGCACTAATGGGTTGAAGGCCACTTGCAGCTGGTTGCCCAGGCTTCCCCGAAACAGTGCCTGTAGCTTCATCCACGAGACACTCGGAGCCAATTCTTTGCTTAACCGACTCCACAAACTCCTCTGCCTGATCACATGCAACCCTGAACAACTCCCATTTTTGCTTAAAGTTTTCTAATGCAGCATCAGTCGCTGCTGTTTTCTGACCATTAGAACTCTCCTTTGATTCAAGTACAACAGCTGATGCTGCAACAAAGTCTTGATATGCACTGCTCAGTGCATCTACGAGACTATCCATCCAAACCCCTCGAAGCCCTAATTGATCACTAACCTCAGTAAAGTTCTACAATAAGGAGAGAATAAATTAGCAAGAACATCATTATAAATTGAATCTTTGTAGCAAGATCATCATTAGAAATTGAATCTTTGTAGCAAGAACATCACTAAAAATTGAATCTTTAGCAAGACCATCACTAAAAATTGAATCTTTGTAGCAAGACCATCATTAAAAATTGAATCTTTGTAGCAAGACCATCATTAAAAATTGAATCTTGCAACAATTAAAGAGTTCTTTTTGTCAAGAATGGACATATGTGCAATCAAATTATGCATACAAAAACAAACCCAAGAAAGAATTTTCTATGATTACCCAAAATACTCAAAAGCAAGAAATCAACTGAAACAAACTTGATGCAATACACAAATTTCTTGAAAATACTCAAACAAAATGGAATAAATTTAAGCAAATGAAAAGAAGAAACCACAAAGACTAGGGTTTTTCTACTTACTTGACTGAAGGAAGAAAATGGCTGCCACAACCTTCTCCTACTGTCCTTCTTTGGTTTCTTCTCCTTTTCTCCCCTCGCTGTCTATTTCGAAATAATTACGTATTGCCCCCCAATAGTTTTCATTTGTAACACAAAGCTTCCCTTTAGTTTAGAAATTAAAATCTATGTTTGAGTTTCTAATAATTATATACGAGTGCTATTTTATTGGACCAAAGGAGTAATACTAGATGTTTTAGCTAATTATGTTAGGGATTTGATTAATTTGCTATTTTTTTCTTAATATGTATCTTAATTTTATTTGTATTTTCATCATTAGTATTATATATTAAGTGTTCTAAGTAAATTAAAATTAGACATGTTTTTTTTATCTATTAGTGTTATATATTATTGATGAGTAATTATATTATATGTGATGAATAAAATTAATTTTAATGTTTAAATTAAATATTTTTTTTAATCTTTCAATCTTGCTTTGGTGATGTGTCAGTTTGATTTATAACATTTCTCATAACGCATCTAAGATCACATTAGACCAATTTTTATTTTACATTTGTTATTTTTTCAATCAGACAAATACTTTTTGAGGAAAAATAATAATCATAGATCCAAAAATCAACGAAGTAAAATATTCCAATAAATCTAATTTTGAATAAACACTAATAATTTTTTTGTTGATAACATTTTCACACCTAAATGTTAATGCGTGTAACTAATCACAAGTTTTGCTAATTTCAAATTATCTAATGCATTACTATTTATGCATTTTTTATTTTCAACACTTATTACTTATAGACTATTTTAATCGATTTTTCTATCATTTGCTTGTTTGCTTCACTTACAAAAGGGGAAAAAAGGTCATGTACATTACATTCCTACCTACCATCATTGAAGTAGTTCCATACCTAGCAATCTTGCACGGTTTTCCCTCAAAATATTCTAAACGCAATTTGTATTAGAAAATAGAACGTCAGATAATAAATATTTAATATTTAGTCATTTTTATTAAAAATTAGTCGCAATAATTTAAATACTCTACAGTTGATTATTTTATTTGAATAAAATCATAATTGAGTAATAATTGTTTAAGTGTCTAATAATTATACGAGTGCTATTTTATTGGACTAAAGGAGTAGTATTATTTATGTATCTTAGTTTTTATTTTTATTTGTATTTTCATTATTAGTATTATATATTAAGTGTTCTACGTAGATTAAAATTAGACATGTTTTTTTCATCTATTAGTGTTATATTTTATTGATGAGTAATTATATTATATGTAATGAATAAAATTAATCTTACGTTAATGTTTAAATTAAATATTTCTTTTTAATCTTTCAATCTTGCTTTGGTGATGTGCCAATTTGATTTATAACATTTTCCATAACGAATACAAGATCACATAAGACCAACTTTTATTTCACATTTGTTATTTTTTCAATAGACAAACATTTTTTTAGGAAAAATAATAATCATACATCCAAAAATCAACGAAGTAAAATATTCTAATAAATCTAATTTTGAATAAACACTAATAAGAATTTCGTTCATAACATTTTCACACGTAAAATGTTAATGCGTGTAACTAATCACAAGTTTTGCTAATTTCAAACTATCTAATGCATTACTATTTATGTATTATTTTATTTTCAACACTCATTACTTATCAACTATTTTAATCGATTTTTCTATCATTTGCTTGTTTGCTTCACTTACAAAAGGGGAAAAAAGGTCATGTACATTACATTCCTACCTACCATCATTGAAGTAGTTCCATACCTAGCAATCTTGCACAATACTCCCTCAAAATATTATTCATGATTTTTTATAACAAGAAACGTAAATGCAATTCGTATTAGAAAACAGAACGTCAGATAATAAATATTTAATACTTCACAATTTTTATTAAAAGTTAGTTGCAATAATTTAAATACTTTTCTATCCGATTATAGGTAGATTGACAATTATTCCTTCCATGCGAAAATAATTATGCCTCATTTTAATTTTTCTAATTAGAATATAAATGATAATTTCGAAAAAAATAAATTAAACACATTTTTTTTAATTAAAAAATAAAAAAGTCCACCACTCTACAGTTGATTATTTTATTTCTTCATCGGTTCATATACGACACTACCAATTTTTTTACCAGTTTTCCAGCAAAAGTTCTTGGAGAGATAAGGGACTCTGTGAAAAAAAATAAATCAAGAAAACATTTTGAACCAAAAAAACAGAACTTTTCAAGAAAATATTTTGATGGGTCATCGTGGATTTTCATCTTCATCACTAGTCTTCTTCATCTTGATTCTTATTGGGGTTCCAATATCATCCTCAGTCCCTTTCATTGTTCTCCATGGTATTGGTTTATGTTTTTTTTTTTACTGTTAATGTTGTTTAATTAAAAAAATGACTTTTTTTTTGGATTAATAGGAATTGGAGATCAGTGTTCGCATCGTGGAGTCAAACGATTCACAGAGGAGCTAAGTGAATGGTCAAAATCTGAAGGATATTGCTTGTAATTATTCCTTTCTTAAAAATTGGTTTAGTGGCTGTACTTAATTTAACTATTTGAGATAATCTTATTTGGCGTGTAGAACATTTCTGCTAACACTGTATTCGTATGTTATAGTTGGGGAAAATAATCAAAATTAATATTTTAATAGTTTAGAGTTGTGAAGCTTGTACAATAACAACAATAGCATAGCCCGTGTAATCTTACAAGTGGAGTCTGGGGAGGGTAGGATGTACGTAGGCCTTACCCTTACCTTTGTAGGGTAGAGAGGCTGTTTCTGGTAGACACTTGCCTCAAAAGTTGTGAAGTTTGTATAGAATAATAATTGTTGGTGGTATAGTGTCAAATATTTCTGGATGTCACATATGGGAAGAGTTTTTTGTTTAACTTGGGATGGAGAGAGTAGTTCGTTTGAATATAACTTGAAGTAATGTGACTGCTGGTATGACTTTGGTTAGTTGTGTTAGTGTTTGTTTGATACAGCTTAAGCATTTTGATAATGATTGTTCATCTAATTATTTGAATAAACTTTTTGATAAGCGACTTGCTTAAGGAAACAACTTATAAAATGCAATTGATAATGATTATTCTTCTGATTAGTTGAATAAGCTTTCCTTTCAATACTTGATGTTGATATGCTTTATCTGAGCCGAAGGTCTATCTGAAACAAGCTCTCTACCTTCATAAGTTAGGGGTAAGGCTGCATACACACCACCCTCTTGAGACCCCACTTGTCGGATTACACTGGCTATGTTGTTGTTATTTGAATAAGCTTTTCAATAAGAGACTCGCATAAGGAAACAACTGATAAAATGTTACGTATGATAATTGATCAATGCCCACTCTATTTATCATTAGTTGTGTCATGAGATAGCTTGTAATATACTAGCAGTCATCACTTTTAGCTAGCCATTGTTATTCTGAAACAGAGGAGTTTATGCTTCCTATCAGAGTTTAAATCAGTTCTGGATTGTGGTTGTTCTTTTAAATCGTGTTCAGTTGATCACTTAATTTTCACTTATTGGAAAAGATTGATGCCTGATTAAAGCTGCATGATAATCAGCAAAGTGGATAGGAAGTTTCCTCAAAGGCATCCCTAGCCCTTCCCCGCCCCCTCCACCTGCCAAAACAAAAAGTAAAATGAAAGAAATAAACAGACTTAGGATGTCACTAGTTAGTTTGTATTTGTTTTCAAGATTATTAGTAAAATTTGTTTTGTTTGCCCGTTAAGCCAAAGTTGAGATAGGTTTGATACGAGGGTACTATGTCACCATGGCTTGTTATTCATCAAAAGAGATCTTAAACCGATTAGTATTGCCCGGGTTCAGGATTTTACATTTTGAACTGTACAAGCTGAATCCATGCTATTTCCATACACAGTTTTAGTTGATATGATTCTGTTTTATGGACCATGTCCTACAAAATTACCTATTTGTTTTATATCCACATACCACTGCTTAATTTTTTTGGCGTGGTTATGTAACTTATCTTGCTTTGTACTTGTGCTATCTTTGAACTCTCCTCTTTAGGGAAATTGGAAATGGATCATGGGATTCCTGGTTTATCACTTTAGAGGATCAGGTAATGACTCTCATTAAAATCTAAATGCTAGTAGTTGTCTTGGGCAAAAAAGTTTTCAGAACCTAGTTCTGATCTGTTCTTTTTCATGTGCAGGCTGATGTAGTGTGTAGCAAGGTGATGGAGCTCTGTCAATTAATTGTTTTGTTGTGGCTAATCTCTCGTATTCGTTTTATCGCTGACGAGAGCAAACTTCCGGGTACAGGTTAAGAAAATGAAAGAACTCCAAGATGGTTACAACATAGTTGGTCTCTCACAGGTTATTTAAAGAAACTAGATCTTGTAAATTTGTGCACTACTTTTATTGGTGTATCTTTCCATCACTTGGTACCATATTTGTATGTCAATCAGAGGGTTATTAGCTCTATATTTTTACACTTCTTAGCTTCAATTGAAATAAATTAAGGGGGTCAGGTCCCAAGCAAATAAATATTTGAGAACTCTATTTGAACCAAATATTTTAAGAGAGAATAATCAAAATCATCCTTAAGTAATCCCACTTGGATTTATTTAATCCATATAATCTGTAGGTGACCAATATGATCCTTCAACTGCAAGTGACCAAACTGACCTAGCTTGTAGCAAATATCCAAAACTAATAGCTTTTGAATAATGCAAGACACATGGTATCATAACAATATCGTTCACTTGGAAAGTAAATGCTTAATATGTGATGTAATATTTTGGATTCAATTGGTTTATGGTTGCATGGACAGCACATTCACTACTCATCTGCTTATGTTACAGGGTAACCTAATAGGCCGAGCTGTTGTGGAATATTGTGAGGGAGGACCACAGGTAGGGAAAAAAACCTTACCGTTTTGCATGCAACTCTAATTGATATGCATCTGATAAAGATGACTTCCGATTTTATTTGCTTCTTGAAGTCAAAGTCAGATCTTTCTTATTCTAGTCATTTCAATCCAGCTCT